AGGCCGGGTTCGGACCGTACCACGGTTCATTGTTTGCTGCCTTTTGTGTCCAGGGTTCTAGATACGAGTTGTGGAAGGGCAATAATCGACTGATGCTGACAAATACTGAAGCGAGGAATATGCCCGATAGCGCTGTTTGCGTTTCCCAGATCGCTGTGTGTCCTCCGCGTTCGTTGTAGAGTGCTTCCAAATACACTTCGACAAGTGCAATAATTAATGTCGGTACGGCGAGTCCTAGGGTCCCTTGGCTCCGAAGCTGTTTATGTTCGGGCGGCTGGGAGGGAAAGGAACCGCATACATATTCGGGTTACTTATTTATTCGACCAATGGGAGATATTTGCGGTCCTGCTTTGATGCTTGGTCCACAGAAAATAGCCACATATAGGAAGTAACTATCAAGTATTTATTAAAAAGTAACACGAATGATTCAGTACCAAAACAAAAATTTGTTCTTTGGCTCATTCTCCTCCTAAGCCGCACTGGTATTATCCAGTGGATATTTGAAAGCCGGACGGCTGAGCTAACGCTGGTGCAGAAAATCCTACCACTGCGACGAGAGCAGTATGGATACTCCCATAAGTGAAATGATTGACAACACTGTTTTATAGTTTTTATTTGACCTTCCTGACAGGCGCTGTGTAATGAACGGGAAGGGACGAAGCAGTGGCGTTATTTTGGAGACTTACCTAGCCCTGTGTACATTTACACATTTAACCGGACTCCTGGGCAACTGGCTGTGTGTTACAAAATACATGGTTTCGTTTTTTACTCTACGTCTGTTTTCAATGCGTAAAAGCAGAACGTATCTACAAAATTACTATATAGAAATTTGAAAATATCTCTTCATAGCTCATTTCGATAATCTTCGGTGCAAAAAAAACAAACAAAAAAACTTGTGAATAATCCACATTCACAGTTCAAAATTCCTTGATTTGTCCTTAAACTGGACGGCGGGTTCCTTAATTGCCTATAGAAAGACCGGAAATATTGGTGGTATAAACAATAAACATTCTTTCATAACCCCCTTGACGCGTTTTATTACATAAAGTGCCATCTAAAACACTTCTGTATAACATGAAGAACGTAGTGCCGAAATGATATACTTCACGCTCTAGATGCCTCTTGGAACTGTTTTTTAAAGCCTTGACAAATACAATTAATTGTTTTGATTACTTTCAAATGTATTTCGAATTGACCTTCAATATGTAATTCAACCTATACTGTCCTTGAACCAAAGGCAACTTGAGTTTCATATACAGCTGTAACTAAACGTATTACATAAGCTTATTCCATGCACGGCGATCAGCGTCACCTGACATTTTGTTTTGAAATAATTTATGGCAATATAGCGATAGCCAAGATTTAAAGCATGTTAGCCTCATTCGAAGCGCCCAGGAACGATTTATGCCTTATTCTAGTGTTCACCTCAAGAACCGTAGTCAAAAAATGTCCGCCTCCTCAGGGAGCAATACCAATTTTCCCCTTTATGTCGTGAGTTAAGATATATCTAGGTGCATTTCAAATTGGCTGTCTGTTATTTTACCAAGACGTGCACGTCTCAAAAGCCAAAAGCATCGTTTTTCCACCGGCAATAAAGTTTTGCGAGGACTGCTTTGCTCAACGTATCAAAAGCGCTCAAAATTAGTTTTATTTTTTAAATCTGACAAGGAGTATAGCTTAATATTACGATGAGTGACTTGCTTTTTTTTTTCTGACCATTCAGGATTCAATTTTTGCGAGAAAAATGCCTACAATCCATTCGCAATTCATAAGTAGCGCAAAGCGATGACGGCGTCTCGTGGCTTTCCTTTACCAAACAGCCATATTGTATGAAATTACTGAAGAAAGAAAGAAAAAAAAACAATTTATGCATCTTCTCCGTAAGAGCTTGAGTAAGACCGAGTAAAAAGGAAGTACGACCATCGCTGCAGCCTGGAAGGGCGAATCTTAATAGGAGTCAAATGCACGCGGTCACAGCGGCGGTGTCGTGTGCCCACCACAGCCCGGTTCTCCTTTTGCTTTCGCAGAAACGTGACTATGTCGTTGACACTGCCGGCCGGGCGAGACACGCATCACGGCACAGAGTTTGCTTGTGGCCCGAGGAACTGCTGATGATGCAATAGGAATCTTGAAAGTGTGACTTCGCGGGACATACGACCTCGTGTTTCAAAACATGTATGGTTTGCGTGAACGGTGGATTGCCGCAACTCACCTAACATATATATGTTTGACTTCCGTGTTGCCAAACCGTGTTTTCTTTTAATTTTAATATACATACGTTGTCTAGCAGAAAAAAAAAAAGCTTCCGTGAGCACCTGGCGCAGGCGTTCTGCCCAGCGATAGTTTTTAACATAAAATCGCGAGTAACAAAACTTAGTATATCTTTCTTTTTTTGAAACGTTTTAAATTTACGAACGATGTTTAGTACTTGTCAGATTTAAAATGCTATGTCAGACTTGTACGAGTTCCGTTATGAATTTTACCTATTTGAGATAATATGGTACGATTATTAGAAGAAAGTGCTCGAAAATATATCTCAAAATAAACTTTATACCTGTTTTAGATAGGAATTTCAAAAGCCATCACAACAAAGAAGTTAAAAATAGAACAGCAAGGCGAATGGCACTCGCAAACTCAGGACCGTGAACTGATTTCCAGCTGGCCCGAAATGCATTTGACTAAATGTTTTTTTCTCGTGACAGCAACAACATTCTCAAATAATATTACCTGTGCCGATTTAAAGATCCCGTTCTATATAAAATAAAATGCCCCTGGAAAAAAAAGTTCGCAAGATTAAACGATTAAGGAATTCAGCACGGTTAACGGCTACTTCCTGGATCGCAATGAGCTTGTTAATCTTTCCGAACTGACTCTCTTGATGTTCAGTTGTGGCGTTTTTAATACCTTTCGTTGTTCTCTTAAGCAAAATACTTCTGTGACTGAGACTGATATATTAATTTAACTTGGCAGATAATTGATGAAGTGTTTGGTAATACACTCAAGTTTCAAAGCGTCAGTAAAATTGTGTAAGTTTCTATAATAAGCGTTTAGAAAAAAAAATTAAACTACAAATGCACTTTAATCCTTACAAAACTAAATACATGAAGTATTTAACTATAGTACAAAAAAAAGAGTGATTTGCACAGTGCTGTGCTAAGCACATGCAGTTTAGTCTGTTAATGAAATAAGGGGAGGGTAAAAAGAAAGAGTTAGAAAATGTTTGCAATGAGTCTGGGGATAGCCTCCAAGGTATATTGTTTTGATCATTTGAGACCGTCATTGGACCGTTCGCTGGCTGAACTGCCGAGGAATGTTCTGCTGAAAAGGCGTGCTCCTTAAACATCTTTCATAACAAGTCTAATGTATTTAAGCTGTAGCAACATTAGTCACGAATGACCGTTTTCTCGTTTAATTTTTGAACGGTCTGCCGCGCAGAACTCATTATACTCTAATATGCACTGAAGAAAAAAGTTCGCGCTTCCACTTCAACGCAGTGAGCGTGGAGCACCAATGCTTGCGTCTAAAGGCCATCTAAAAATACTTATTTATTCATAAGTGCGGTCTGCGCTTTATCACCTTAAAATAACTAAGCATTAAACGTCATGTTTGGTGTCATTCTGTTATTTTGCTGCTTGAGGAATGAAGTGCACGGGACTACTTCCAAGCTTAATCGATTAGAAACTTCACTAGTTCAAAGCTATTCAAATTTGTCTAGCTTTATATTTGCCATATGCACATTTACGATATAGAGTACTTCTGATTATAGATAAGCGCAAGCTACATGCAAAACATGAACTTCGGAAGCCTCGCGACAGCCGACACCCCTACGAGGTTTAGATTTTTTATGCTGTTTTTAGCCGTACGTATTGGTACTTCCTACTTTTCATTATATTAAACTCCATAACACAAACACATTTAGCTGTAAATATAAGTGATATGCTAAGGATATAACAGACGACGACACGACGTCGCTGAAATGGTTGATATAGAGCAGGCCTCCGGACATATTTCTCAAGACGTACACAGTACTCAAGTTTCTTTTTGATGTGCAAAGATGACTGGAAGAAACGACTAAATATATATGACGTTGCAAAGTGAACATGATCAGCATTATTCGTACACACTGAGGCTTTTCATCAGATACCTATATTTCTAACGAAGAATGTTACAGAGTATCAGGTAGAAAGCAGCGTTACCATATTATTATATATTCTAAGTGTTTTAGTTCTAAGCTATTTTATAAACAACTTAGAAATGTCAGAACTATAGCAGAATATGTGAAGTTTGTATTTCGTACTTTTTTGTGTATAACGTTAATGTGTTTGATGTGTGTGCGTATGTTTCTTCTTCGTCCTCACCGGGAATGCATGTTGCAGTTGGCGAGCATCAATAAATAAGCATAAACGTAAACACAAACATAAACATATTATTTAACATTATCTTCAATACTTTAGAGTTTTCCAACTATTCTGGGTTGTACAAACATCAGTGATTTTCGCTTACGATTAATAATAATAATAATAATAATATTTATTCAACTCGGAAAGAGTTGCGACATTGCACAAGGCGAGGGGCCCATACCAGTAGGTCTGTGGTGCCGCAGTTACATGAGCGACAAAAAAAATGCATAAAAAAACAACAAGCAACAATAAACAAAGCAACACTCGGATGTGTGCCGCTTAGGACCGCAAGTGCGGTATTGCCCCCCTGCAGATGGGTTTTATATCTTCTTTCTCATTCAGGCCCGCTGTCATTTCTGATAAGAGCACGAACGCTTTGTTATCAACCTCAGATGGGGGTCCGAACTGGCCTTGTTGATGGGACAACCGCCTCGAAGAAAAGAATGTTTGAATATTCATTGAAACAAGAAAGTGAATTTTGCGTTACTAGAGTTTGTACGAGATTATAAAATATGCTAAGCGAACTCGAATCTACGTTGTGAAAGCAGCAAAGATTCTTATCTTTAGAAAGAGAGCGATTAGTAAATCAGTGAAGCTTACCTTTCGTCACACTCGCAGTGGCTGACTGTGTGGAACCGGTAGTTGAACAGGTGGAACTTCTTTTTAAAAGCCTCGATGGTGAACGGGCAGTGGTCGTGGTCCCGGCAGCAGCGGTCAGCCCGGGCGTTAACCCCGAGCTCCGTAAACTTGCGCGCCGAATTGCCCGAGCCACACCAATTGGTTCCAGGGTAGAGGAACAGGTCGCGCTTTTTCCTCAGCAGCTGGAACGAAGTCTTCGGCGCTGTTGGCACCTCAACCTGGTTCGAACCAACATCGGGAGATTCCGCGTAGTCTTCCGTGTCCACGGAAGTTTCATCCGGGTGGGACTTTCCAGCTGTGCCCTGCTGCTCTCGGAGAGCGAGTCTGATCTGGCGGTGCAACTTTCTGCATTTCCGCCGCAGAAGCCTCAGGTCCAGCAGCTCCTTCCAGTCAGCACCGACGTCCCTAGCGCTCCGAATCAAGCGGAAGGTGTCATTGGTCGACGGAGGCGTGCTCAGGCTACTCAGCTCGCAGAGAACGCTGCCGTTGCCGCGATGCAGGCTGCTTCGATGTTCAGCGCAGGCAAAGTCTTCGGCGAGGTTGCGAAAGAACCGTGACACGGCCCGAGGATCCTTGAGGTACTCGCAGTCGACGAGTTCCTGATGGCGGTTGAGGATGAGCTGCAAAAAACTGCTGCCGTCCGAAACCTGCCTCAAAACCAGCGCGTTGTCCTGGTCCAAGTCAACAGAGGTCTCGACTGCGGTCAACCGGCCGTAGTGAACTCGGCGTTCACGCTCGCCGTCGCTCAACACCCGCGTTCGGCTGAACCCGGGCACGTCCTCGGACCAGTGGTAGAGGGACTTCTCCGAGGCCGACAGGGCCGTGAGTGCCGTCGCCGTCAACAAGAGTGCCCGGACGAAGGTCATGGGTGGACTCTTGGCTGGAGAAAGTGACTGGTCGTCTCTCCAAAGTGGTCCTTCGGTGAACGCGGTACTTCCCTCGCTTTCTCTTGTCCGGCGATGACGTCTGCCGCTGAGTTGAGTACCGTTGTCGGATGGGCGAGGGGCGAGACGCTAATTCGTCATCCTGTCTCGACCAGTTGCTCGCAGGGCGGAACCGGAACGGAGAACAGAAGGAGCCGCGTGCTGACCGGCGTGGCCAATCCCCGATCACGAGTGTGCGTGCTGGTGGAGCAGATCCGGCGGTCTCTTCTTTTCATTTATCCGTCGCTCTGCCGTCCGTCCCCCGCCTTCGAGGTTTCGGAAGAAGGGAACCAGGAGAAAGAGGAGGAGGATGACGACGGAGGAGGGTGACTTTCGGAGGGAGGGGGAGTGGGAGGAGGAGAGGGAGCGCCTAGGCAAGAGGATCGTGAGCCTCTTTGCCTTTCTGGCGAGTCTCTCGCCCGATCGAGTCGGGCCTTTCGGCGTGCTCCCCCAGCTACAGCGGAGGGGATGGACGGATGGGATGGGTCTCCGTTGTCGCTGTGGTTTAGACGGCTTCGGTGTAGAGTGGCGGGATGAGGGTGAATGTTTTGCTTTGTACCATTTTCTTTTTGTGTTTCGTTCCGTTCTCTCGGGCTCTTCATCTTCTCGTGTTCCCTATATTTGGACAAAAATTGGTTGTTACTCGCTGAACTGTGAGTCAACGAGTGTTTGAGTGGTGGCTCATATTCGTCGTGTTCCCCGAGGAGTGCTGGGTGTCTACTGCAGGTTATTCTCTTTAATAATGTCGGTATGGTAGATGCTGGGTGTCCCTGTGGCATATGTGGATTCCAGTGGGCACAAAGTTTCTCGTACTTAATGAGCCTGAACAGTTTATTAAACGCCGACATATAAAAACACGGCAGTTTTCTCGTGCTGTGGCTTTTCTTCGTCTACGTTTACTGAGCTGTTCATCTCCATCACGCGCACCGTTTACCAAGTGGCCTAATTTGTTAACTTAATACAGTTTCTCTCGGAAGTAGCAATCCTTATAAACGCTGTGAGTCGCGCGAGCAGGAAAGCGATCGAAACGACTCTTTACAACAAAAATGATAAAATTGGAGGAGACTCCGACAGCCGTGGGTCGCATGTTTAGGATTTTAGAATTGACTCTAATATACACGTTTTTATTGAAAGTGTTCTTTTTTGAAGGAGGGGGGAAACGAAATTGAGAAGAGCATTCAGAATCCCTACCATCGGCAATTCAAGTTAGCAGGCTCGAGAGTCGCGCCGTGAGCCCATGTATTTTGAATTTTAGTTTATTTTTAAGCTGCGTCTCTGTTTTAATGAATCTACACTCTGCTCTCACAATCCTGATTTTTCCTGGGCTTGTTTACCCTTAGGGTGACAGGCATTTTTGTTAGCCTATTACCTTTGACATTAGTATCTTGTAAATCGCTAAGCAGCAGGGCACACAGCAGTATTTTTTGTAAGTGACAAACATGACTTACCTACTAATATTATTCCTTGCCCATAGATCAATACCCAGGTGTGCAAATTAGAAGTGGTCGTCCTTACAACAGGAAGAAAGACAGATTAAGTTCACTTTCCACTCCTCACCTTTATCAGTGTTAAGCAGTCCACTAATCAGCGACTGCAGTACTTTATGAACCCACCAACACACTGTCGCCTCTACGAATGTTAAAAAAACACAAAAAAAAACACACACACACTCACAATCGGAACGTTTCTTTTAAACCAACCATGTCGATTCTTACTCAAAATCGAGAATTTTGTGTGCCATCTCCGCTTGTCAACAAGCACATACCTAATAAGAAGACACACGGCGGCCCTTATGGGGCAACCTATCCTGGATCTGATCTCGGGCAGACATGTAACAGCTTGGCGCTTTATTTTTAGTTATTCGAGCAGAGGCAGTTTACGAATTCTGCTTATATTTGTTTATTTACTTTTCTCTTACACATTTTTAGGCTATCTGCATGAACCTATATAAAAGTTCTTATTAATGTGTAAAGTGCTTCAAATTAGTAGGTCTAAATTGTCGTGTATTTTGTATGGGCACAATATTTGTTAATATGAAACTTTGCCAATCAAAACTCAACAACAAAAGTGTAATAGACAATGTTTTCACGTGACACAGTACAAAGCTGAGTACATTGCAGCTCCGTCTCCGAAATAACTAAATTTCCAGTATTGAAAAGAAATACGTTGGTTATTCTAAACTTGCTTACTAGAGGAAGCGCCGATGATACTTCAACTAATCTGTAAGTGATATGCGCACTTACTACAGTCGGTGACAGGTCAAGAACGAAGTGGAACCTCCACCCACTTCGTTCTTGACCTGTCACCTACTATAGTCCCAAATACATATTAAGTTAATTGGGGTTTTATTTACGGTAAGCGTATTTTTGTAGTCTTTTGTTACCGGCAGAAAGTATGGGTGCATAGGAAAAGTTATCAATAATCACAAGGTCCGCATGGATGCAGATCTGAGAAGCGCGCAACTGGAGCGGCCAAATAAAAAAAAAAAAAAACGCATTGCAAACAACTCAATTGTCACTGGAAGCTTAAGAACGGCAAGGTTCAGCTGCCTTCCGTTTTCTCATCACTGAGGAAATTATGAGTACTCAGCATTGGCCCATCTACGCAATTATAATTCATATTAAAGCCGAAACACATAAAAAAACGCGGATTACGTGTTTTTTTAATGTATTAGTACCGTATTTTCCGAACTATAATCCGTACCCGGTGCACAGTCTGCAGGGGCATATTTGGCTTGAAAATCGAGTTTTTGCCTTCGGGCTAGGCACTTAATGCCTAGTCCGAAGGCACCCACAAACCACACCCTGACAAATGCCTGCTGCATTAGCTCACAAAACATCGTGTATCGTAGATATATCAACATTAATATATTCCGGTATTCATAAAATCCTCCACGTCTTGTCATAGCAAATGATCTAGAGAAAAAAAAAAGAAATTATCTCGTAGTTTGCCCCTGTAAACAGTCCGCATTGGGTAAAATTTCAACTTTTAAACATGTGTAGTCCGCGGAGTATATTCAGGAAAATACGGTAATTAATAAAATAATTGATTCATCCACGTGCTGCATCAAATATAGTTTGCGGAGTTTACTACTGGAGTCAATATGAAATGATTACACGATTCTCCTTCATCATCATTCGTGTACATGGTACGATGGGATAGGGCAGGCCGAATTTTATTTAGCCTGGGTTTTGTGTGGGTATTGTTGTAGGCTCATAAAAAAAAAAGGTTGCCTAAATAAAACCAAAGATAAATTGTTCTCCAATATAGGTTCCTCGCAATATCAGCTTGCAAGATAAAGATGTTGCCCATCTGACCTTATTCTATTTTTCAAAAAAAGCGCGAATGCACGAATAAATAAAGATAGGTGAGAAAAAACTGCATAACTATAGCCGCAATTTGTATGCAACACAGATAAATGTTTCCAAAAAGTAAGCGGGGAGAAGTAGCGGGCCTGTTGTGGACCGGGCAATGGAACTGTACTGTCTTTGGGAGAGAATTGCCGGCGGATTGAATACTGCGTAAAGAAAATTTATATTGTTGATCCAGGAGGAGCAGTGACAATGCCGCCAGGAATATAAAACAAGTAGGGCGGCATATTCACCGACATTTTGTCTGTAATGCTCTTTGTAAAGTGCATGATAATTTCGTAGCTGTGTATCAAAGTATTCCCACTTTTATGCACATCTGCGAACGTTTTGAAGACCAACTCGGCCAATACTGCATACACACTGGGGAAGCAGAACCAACCCTACATATCTGCACTCAAGCGAAGGCTTCAAAGATTACAAAGAAGAATAAAAAGCACAATGGGTAAGTTGATCCGCAAGAGCTGATCAGCCTCTCAATTAGTAACCATGAAAGGATGCTCTCAGTGTTCTTAATGGCTATAAAGGATTTGTATTCTTATCGAAAGAAAAGGAAAGGCTGATGAGTCCCGTAAAAAAAAAATGTTGAAGTAAAATCTAGTCAAGTTCCAGTCGGAGTCGGGGGTGTCTGCAGATCTGCGAACTTTTTGTAGCTTATATATTTCTCGATTTTGCGCAACATTTTTTTAGCTGCTAACTTCCTCTTGCCCAGATCCCGGCAAGGTAATTGCCATCTCGGCATACAACTTAGACACCTGATTAATCACACCTTTGGGATCCAGTTCGTCTCGCCTGGCCTTCCTCCCAAAACTAATCGTTTCACCAGCTGACAAGAATAAGCCTAATCCCAGCTGAAATCGACCTGTCTCGCCTTTCAGCACGTTCAGCTGTATTCTAACTCTTTTCCCCTACCCTTGATGCTTTTCACCGCCAGCAGAACTTGGGTGGCATCCAGACGACGAAGACAGCGATGTTCGAACGATAGTTATCGGAAATGGACATGCGCAGTAAGACGACCGTCCAGTTGCCAAGTCAGCACTATCGGGTGCTGCTTGTTAGAGCGGATGATCTCGGGCTGGGGCTGCTGACAAAAGGACCGGGGGATCAGCGGCGCCTTTCCTGCGGGAAGGCACGCCCCCCGCGCAGCCGATGCTGGGTGGGGAGTAGACACTCCGAGGCTTAGAGTCGTGTGTGCTCCGGGCGAACTTCTCGATAGTTCATCGGTAGAAGTCTGAACCGTTGTAGAAGCAACTTTAGAATTCTGAGACCCAGGCTCGCCTAGTTCCGAAACAGGGATGGGAAAAATTCTCCCAAAAATGTATCAAAACACAAATATAAAATAGGGACAAAATATATTTAGAAAAGGTATTTAAATGCGAGATACCATTATAACGATGATATGTTTTTTCACATTAAAATATTTTTGCAAGTACACTTTTTTGTTTGCCTTACTCCGACATCTTTGATCTAAATTTAAACCTAGGTAAAAACAAATACAAAAATACAACCATACCATATCAGAAGTGATGTCTATAGTTTATAGCAAAAATCAGACACTCAAATCAAATTGCAGCTGTAAACTAAAATTCGTTTGTTATGATATAACTGGGTAGATCGTCAAGAAATACAATGTATTCAGCATGAGCTTCATCTCAAGGTTTCAGTCGAGGGAAGAAAGCCTTTTCAAACAACATCATGTTTAATGCGTCGTATGAAAATAAATAAACAAAACACAGTGAATGATCGTGCCCCTCCCGTTCATTATTTGTTCAACGCTTCCTTTTTCTTCGATGTGTAGTATGATCAAAGCACAGAAAGTTACGCTCTCCTCCTACGTCTTCCATAGCGAGGAGCGCCGGAATAGCCGCCAGAAACAGTGCCAAGGATTGATTGTATTTACGCAGTAGTTGAAGTACAAGTATTTAAAATAATACATTTTTAGTATTTAATTACGATTGCCAAATAAATTTCCCAATAGGCATTTAAATACGAAATACAAAATACTCAAAGCGTTTTAAATACGTATTTCAAATATTTGTACTTGAAATACTGCCCATCCTTGTTCCGATGCAATAATATCCACACTTCGAGTGATCTAAGAATGAAAGGTGTAATCCCCCTTATGTCCACATTAAAAAAAAATGATATGGTGGGGGAGGAAACAGCGTGGGATATCTTGTGGTGTATTTTAATACTGAGAAGTGAAATACGACGTTCGTGCGCATTTGTAAATATGCACTAACATATTAAAGCAAATCACCACAAGATATTTCTGCGTATGAACCACTCGCGATGATCAAACAGTACTCAAGGATGTTGCTTTTTCTCTTGTAAAGCTGTAACTGTTTTTTGTTACTGGTTTTTCTTTACTGAACCAGTCACGTAAAATGATCGAGTAGTAATGTGAATCTTCTTTCCCCTCTTTTGGATTAGAGTGCCCGAAATTTTCTACTTACAGAGTTTGGTGTTGATATTATCAATGCTTGTCATTAATAGAAGCCAGTGGTAAGGTGCTGGCGATGAACTTTACAGCGCATGCTTGCGGTGCGCCGCATCCCGCCCCAAGCATAAATACGATTTAATTGAGTCTCAGCATTGCCACGTATTGTTTTTTAATATTATTGTTTTATTTCTTCGAGACTGGACTCCATTAACCCCACTCCCCAAACATTTTCTCCCTGATGCTTTTAGGTAAGAGTGACCATCGTATCATGATATACACCAGTAACTGTATTGTGAGGATTCAATACTTTCTCAAATATATTTTTTTCTAACTTACTGAAAACTGATTCAATTTATTTTGAATTTTCAACAAAACCTCCAAAGAAGAAAACCGTTGTAGTTTGGCTGCACTGTCGGACTTGGACCGTCAGTACCGCCATTGCGCCAGGATAGGGTCGAAGTCCCAGAGGTCGGGGTGTCCCGCGTGACTGACGTTGTCGAACCCCGACGTGCTCCAGCGAAACGGCCGCTGGTCGTCCGAGGTCGGACCGCTCACAGCGTAGAACACCTGCCTCTCGAAGAGCGCAAAATTTGTCACCTGCGAGAAGTCCGAGAGACACACGTTGGAATTATTGAGATAAAGCTGTACACGCGCGAGGAAGTGAGAGTCAACACTCGATCTGGAACTTTCGTGGCTACCACTGCGGTTTGCCACAATTTTCAGCATCTGCCACAATCTTTAGGAGACGGAGGCCTAACTTCCGTGCTCCAGGACTAGGTTAAACGAGAGCGTCTTAAAAAGAAATGTAGGCGCACCAATGCCGACACACTGAAAACATCAAAACACGAGAAAGAAAACCCGCATTGAGAAAATGGACATAATGTATCCCGCGATCAGCGTCTGGGCGCCGACTGAGTCTGCGAGTCGAATGATTATTCGAGCATAATAGTTTGCTAAGTTTATCTCACATTCGTTGTAGCAGTTTGATGTTTACCGGGCACACAAGCCAAGCAGAATCATAAAGTAAAAAATCTCAAAGTCGTAGCGGCAGTGCTCTTATTGTATGTTTAAGATTTGAAGAAAAAAAGAAATCTTTAAAGATTTTTTTTTTTTTTGCAGGAATTTGAAGTTTCAGTTTATGATTCGCAAATAAACTCTGCCAACGAGGGGCTGTTTGAAATAAATTAATCATGTCTGGCAACTACCGCTCCAAGTGTTTTTTCGTCGCTTTTACCGCTTTGTTTATCGGTGTGCTGCCGAAGAATGGCTTTGAACGGCCTCTAATGGATGTTAGTGTCGAATTATTTTTTTAGAACGTAGAGTAGCGTCAATAATCATTAATTGTCCTAGAGCTCGAATACCAGATAAAAGGTGTCTTTAAGTTGAACACAAAACTCATACTAAGAAAATAACGATATTTAAATATTAAAAAGACAGTGAGTTCAAAAGGCTCTGACATTCAGATTTGAATGTCAGAGCCACGTTGGTGCAGGTTGCGGATATTATGCGTCATTCTTTTTATGTAGGCCAAAAAAAGATGTTATATGATTTGAGTAGATTAAACGGTAGAACGTATTTTGTTTACTTAAATACTATTTTGTATATATTTGTGAAGTGAAAACTTAATGATAATCTCCTTCAGGAACATGTCAATAATTCCATTGATCCGTATGGGAACAAACATTTTACAATATAACGGTCATTCAAACTAACTGAATCGTATTTTAATTAACTTGACTAAGAGATAGTTTTATTTTATTTACATTACTTTTTAAGTCATAAAAGTAAACCAAGGTGTTTCAGCTTATTCAGCGCAAAGCAGAGGCGGTCACAAGCTCGAGCGTTCACGACGGTCGGTAGAGCGATATTTTGCAGTATTTAAGAGCTGTGCTCAGTTACGCTGTGAGAAATACTGAACAATCCGATAGTATTGCAGGTGTGAAGACAGGATTAGTGTTTGTTTTTTGTGTAGGGCTTAATAGGAAACGAGTTGCAGTGAAAAATCCTACCTTAGCGTCAGTTCCTCCGTGAGCGCGACGACCTAGGGCTTTGAACGGGTAGGTGCCGTTGGCTGGGTTCAGATCGCTTCTGGCTGAAATGGCGTTCTCCGCACTGTACGGGGGATCGCAACCAGTGCACCGGGACAAGGGGTCATTAGTGAAGTCATTGTACCTAAAAGAAAATACGGTGGACATTAAACAACGTTTTAAGGAAGGTATTAAGTGATACGTGTCGAAGGAAACGACTGCAAAGAATGCGTAAACAAATGGTTAAACTCCAAGCGAGCTGGTGAGATGGTCTAAACCAAAGGCTGGTGTAGAAAACCGAAACAAAAAACTCAGTAGAAAAAATAGAAAGCAGTGGACAGGCAACACCTTAAACTCAGCTGCAGATTTTATTTTCTCCACGCCTTATGTATCCTTGTCCCAAGGTCGTCACCAAAGCACCCTGAAGGTCACCGAGACCCGACCAACGCGGCAGACACAATAGGGAAACTGAAGCGGCCCTACATATCTACACCCGAACGAGGGATTGAAAGATCAGACTGAAGCATAAAACCACAATGGGAGAGTTGATCCGCAAAAGCTACCACGGAAGGATGCGCTCAGTGTTCTCAATGGCTATAAAGTATTTGTATTTTCCCCGAGAAAAAGAAAGGCTGATGAATTCGGTCAAAGAGCTGTTGAAGTAAAATCTTCTCAAGTTCCAATCAGAGTCGGGGGGGTCGGTGCAAGGTTTTCTTGCCATTTTCAATCATTACCTGCAATCAAAGGTTCTTGAATATGAGGAACGAAGGTATGTCCAGAAGGAATATCCTTCGGTTGCACCACTTTTGACCGAAATATACCTCACCACCTCTGATAGAGTCGTGTTTGATAAGATGATTGCGTTGTCATGTGATGCACGCTTTGTAGTAGGTATGTAGCAGACATCATCGTGCGCATATTCCAGGATGGATTGACGAAATACATAAAACATGTAATAAGATGAGCTGCTCCGGAGCTACGGTTCACTGAAGAGAAACCGGAGGAAAATATCATTCAGTTTTTAAGCGTGTTCATGCAGGAAATGGGTCGTGTTGGGAGTACGGGAGGTAAATGGCCATACCGGTGCTCTGAAGGCAGAGCTGTGACTCAAATTCTGTAAAAGTAGGAGTGACCAAATCCCTGATACGAAATGCAGTGAAAAGGTAATGCACCCACTTCTTGAATCGGTCGTTGAGAAGTCCCTGAGGAAGACTGAAGAGTGCTGGGTATGACCATGCATTCATGAAATGACAATTTATCATGCAAACGAAGAACAAGTAAGGCGAGCAGAGTGTAAGGAACTGACAAGCTATCATCCCTTATATCTATGCAATTTTACATAAATTGAAAGAGTATGCGGAAAGTTTGGTATTGAGACGATTTCTACTTGTGACTTCATGTTGAGTGGTCTTACTCCTTTCGAGGCAGTGAACAGGCGTCTCTTGGATGTGAAAGTGGCGTGGTATATCGGATACATTTAGAGTGCGTTTTCAAATATATATAAATGATAGGCTCGCGGAACACAAGCGGAATCTAACAGCAGTATTTAGAGCAGTATTTAGTGCTCAACAATTCTGTACTTGACCAAATATAATATGCACTAGCAGAAAACGTACTTACGAAAACGTGAATTGGTACAAACTCCAGATATGAAACTGTCATTGTATCAAAAAATAAATTTTTTCGTTTTCAGAAATAGATCGCCCTTATACCGGACATTTTTTAATACTATTTCAAGAATCAAACACATCGCACAATCAGCTAAAGCTGTTTTTACGAAAAGTTAAGAAAACCTTTCATTTTGGAGAATTTATTCGGGGGTAATCCTTTTCAGGACCCCTATTGTTGGGGCAGTTTGTTTAATTATTCTATACACTCAGTAGAATACAAAATGAGTTGTTAAAAATCTTATAAGGTTAGACTTTTTCGATTCATGCAATAATAAATGTTATAAAAATAGCATGAACAGTTTAACTTGCGTCAATAATTAACTGGATAAAAATTAATTCATACTTCCCTGTACCGACATAATTAGACTATAAAAACCCATAATTGCTTCTGTTGTTGGAAATCTTCGTGTTAGAATCAGACGCGGCGCAAACGCGATTTTACAAGGAAAATGTACGTGCTGTCGACGGGCGTTCTCTATAAAAAAACACAAAAAAAACATTTTAAGTGAACTATAAATTACGAGGATACTTTTCAAATTACCATGCATCTTGCCTGAAGTATTTTTGCGTTCCCAAGTTTCGACAATACAGAATTCTAGAATAGGGAAACTCAAAGCTCTGGGGTCACTAACAAATAATGGAATAGGAGCTCACCACTACGCATACGCCGAACAGAAACTGGGTTTTGAGCTGGCGCTCGCCCCTAACGCAAACTTCGAGAAATAGCGTGGGGCGCCCTAATTTGTTTGGGGCAGGGTTGCATTGGCAAACATGGCGGCGCCCTTTCCGCTCGCTTCGGTGCAAATTCGTCATGGTCGCTGCCGTATTAGCCACCTTCATCACCAGTGAATGCTACAACCGACATTCCACTTCGCTTTATCTCGCTCAAATCACAATGAATGAGCGGTGAGGTTGCCCCAATTCGAAGATCGTCTTCTGATTTTGGCTGTTCCTAAGCCTAAAGAGACGTGATAACCATTGATATGGCAACGTCTCGCTGCTTCCAGGACTCCGAGTGAATTGTCTTGTCTCGATCGGCCAAGCGTTACCTGCAGCTTAAAAGCAAGTCTTCCAAGGCTTCCAAGTCGCTTCAGCTGAGATCTAGATAAAGCATCTGCTCGCAGAGTTGGCTCGCCCGCGTTCTTCTCAGTTTCGCCATAGTTAAAAGCTTGAATCTTCGGCGACACACGGTCAGTGGGGCAACGAACACCAAAAAAATCCGAGACCGAGCGCTAAATTAGAGCTCTATGAATTGGATTGTTTTGGCGGAAAGCAACCAACAATATTTATATCGATTTTTATATTGCCTTTTTTATTTAGCCTGGTTGATTTGGTTCAACCTTAACTATTATTTGTAAACAAAAAAGTACTTGTGAATCTCATATCTTTTACGTTTTTCGAATACCTTGTTTTGAATATCACGCTTGCTTGCCGCATTGGTGCTGCAAGCGGAAAACACAACCGCGCCGCGCAGCGCTGCAAGAACCCTAGGCCATAAACATGAGGAGCCTACCCTGTTGGCCTTGGGTGCCTTAATTTATTAGGGGCACCTAAACGTTTGGTCCATCTATTCTGAAACCCTCTAAGATATTATGTGCAAACTGTTTGACTATGCCTGTTATTGATATTTAAAGTATTTAGACCTTTTTCACGGCATTTCACATCTGTATAAGTTTTATTTCGTAAAGTAGGATCTCACTGCGGCTGTGAGAATATTACGAAGTTGAATTCTTCTTTATATAACGACAGACTTGCGAAACCCCAAAATAAGGAAAGCTCGCAAGCCTGCTTATTTAAAAAAAAAAAAAAAAAATTACTACTATAACCGAAAATAACAGAGAAATGACATGACCAATGTCAAGAACGCAAAAGCTAAATTGAGACAAAGAGTGAAATATCATGGCTTGTGTCCCAGAACAGAAAATATATTTGGCTGGGTGAAGACGTTCCAGGAAAACAGGCTTATGGAAATTAATTTTTTACAGCACGCGTTGGCGTACCTCATGAGTTTCATAACTGAACGAAGGTCCACTGCCTTCTCTTCGTCTCTCTTGAACATGAGAGCTCGCGGACTCTTGTCGTATGTGTACCAGTCACCGTATTTCTCCACCAGGGCAGGTAAGCCGCTTTCATTGAAGATTTCCGTAAAGTACCTGCGTGTAAAATAAAATATATTATTCTAGAGCTAAGACGAATAAATAATGTTGTAATAAGTCAGTGGATCTACTCACGGGGAGTTGTAGCTTGCCCAGTATCCTTGCTCTTCTAAGATAGGAGTGACGTCCTTTGACATGACGAGCCCCCTTGAATTAAGAATGAAAACAACAAAATATCAAATATTTGTTACTTTAGTTTGAACCTCGTGTTTCAATAGACCGTGAGCACGTCTACTGGGTTGTTGAAGGAGCGGCCAGGCTATTTAAATCGACCGCAAAATTCGGTTTCTTAACCTATCACGCTACGACTTTGTGCAGCGTTGCCCACAGAGGTTGAATTTCTTTTTTTGCAAAATTTGCAAAGAGCGAACTTACCTCAGGAAAGAGTAAAGAAAAAAAAAAAAAAGGCTTAGCTCCTATGGAAACGCAGCGAAACCACCAGTCTTTAAACGATACGGCGCCGTTCCGCACGGGAGATAAGATGTGGCGCAAGCGGTCGCGACGCCAACTGCACCAACGAACGAGCATAAAGCGCCGAGACCCGGCGTCTTTAGCAGACGATCTTTACGACTCAAAAGCGGCGCGATCTTTTCTGATATCAGTTGCCAATGCATTATTTTATCATCCTTGCTAATAAAACATATTGAATGGACACATAATCGATTAAAAAACGTTTAGCCTTTCCACTTTGGTGGAGAAGGAAGACGAGCGAAGCTATACCATGGTGGAAATGAAGTAATGACCGGCCGGAAGTCGGCAAGCCAGAGAGGAAAGGCTCGAAAGGTTGCGCCATCTATGAGCGACGGCGGGAAGCGGACAACCGGCAAACACAAAAACCTGGACAGCTACCGCCATCTATGAGCGACGGCGGCAGTCAGAGTTTTGTGTCGAGATTTCTTTGCGGGGGACACGATCCTGGGGAAACTAGCCCTTAACAGCTCCGCTGTAAAAATGGTTTGTCGGGATATTTTACTGTTTTTTTCGGGGTGCTGATGTCGTCTAGCTGCTCTGCAGTTCATCGTTGTTACCGCGCCTGTTTTTGTTTCTGCGACCGCCGCCATCGGCACGCGCTCCGCTTTTGAGTCGAAAAGATCGTCTGCTAAATACGCCGGCTTTCGGCGCCGTATGCTCGTTCGTTGGCGCAGTTGCCGTCACGACCGCTTGCGCCATCTCTTGTTTCCCGTGCGAAACGGCTCCGTATTGTTTAAAGACCGATGGCTTCGCTGCGTTTTCATAGGAGCTAAGCCTTTTTCGTTCTTTACTTTTTTCTCAGGTAAATTCGCTCGTTAAAAATTTTACCAAAACAAAAATATAAAAAATAAAAGCACCATCTGTGGGCAACGCTGCACAAAGTCGTAGCGCGATAGGTTAAGAAACCGAATTTTGCAGTTGATTTAAAGAGCTTAGCCGCTCCTTGAAACACAAAGTCGAATAGTTATGACGTTTTTATTTGCATGCTCAACTAATTATTTATAAAGTAAGGTATCTGATATGATACTACTTGAAGCCATTACACTCATCGCTCTTCATTGTAAAGCCTCATTTAGAATCTTCCCAAGTCAATTTTGTGTACTGATAAAAGTTTGCCTTCTCTTCTCAATAACCTACCAGAGTGATTTGCAATGTCATTATCAGCAATGTATCATGACCTAGGCAAATCAGTAGATAAATGTGCTCTTATATGAAACCAGTGGATATCAGACTAAAATAAACTTGCAGCTTACGGAATCTGCTCAAGAATCCATAGGAAGCCCCCGTTGAGTTTCTGGGAAGCCGATTCGAACAGCTTGTAGTCAAGAACCATCCACTGATTGTTGTAGCTACAAAGGATGGAAAAACCAGATTGTGCGGTCAATAAAACAATGAACGCCCCACGCAGATAAGTGCGCTAGAAGGTATGTTTGGGCTAGTTGGACAAGACAAGGACAAAGTAAAGACGAGACAGACGACAGCGCTGTCGTCTGTCTCGTCTTTACTTTGTTTTTTTTCTTGTCGCGCTGTTTTAAACCAAGATAAGTGCGAATCATTAGATAGAGGAAATTTATAAAGTACCGCAACTGCTACAGTGCACAAGCATGCACTTTTTGAACTTTTGGCAAGAGAAAAATTCGGCTAAGTGCCGTCTTGAATATTAGACGCCCCCTTTCTGCGAACATGAATTTTCACAAGCGCGATATATTTAAATAAACCGGTACCTAAAAAAAAAAAAAAAGAAAAACCTAGAGAAATAAAATTGGTTACAATATACAATGTTCTGCAAGAAAATGTTAAACACAGATTGAGCCATTAAAGAAATAGGCAGTTTATGCAAAAACGAACAAGCGCCTGTGCTGGTGGTTGTCCCTTGTGCGACTAGCCCACTTTCGATATTGGACCCTAAGGGTGGTTACGGGATGATCCTTGCCCCCTCCAAGAAAACAATCTTCGTTCTTAATAAACCCGGCTTGCTCGTTTCTGTGAAAAACCGAAATGCTGTTTAAGCCTTTTATTTTTAGTTGGACTTATAATGTTAGTGATTTTTGAAAACAAATAAAGAAAGAAAGCAAATACCATGAAACATAGGAGCAATTTCGGTTCTTATTGGGAGCCTCAGAATTGAAACAGATGTTTTGGAAATGTGTAGCGTCGAACTAAATCTATAAAAAAAATGTTAAAAAAAATCTGTCGTTTTGAGGCCAACTAATTTAATATTGAGTTCTTGCTTATTGACTTATACTTCCGCATTATGTTCGAAAGGTACCTTAATAACGTGCTGGTTTCTATAGAAGAAATAACCGCCAAAGAGTCCTAACAACAAAATGAATGACCAGCAAAAGACTAACATGTAACATTGCTTTGCTCTAAAGAAATTTCATGCAGTAGTAAAAGAGCTTGTATTATTAAGAATGTTGAAACGATGTGCACACTAACCTAACTAACCGTTATTTTTCTGGTTATCCCATTCCCCTTCCAAAATTTGGGGGTTTTACTTGCCAAACCAACGACGGGCATCTGGCACGCCCCAGCGGATGACTGAGGATTAACTTGAACCACCTGAGGATCTTTTGACGTGCGACCGTCCCATTCCCCTTCCAAACACAATCATACAAATACGTCTTGTCTTTTGAGAGTTTGTGCGACCTACGAATTCATCTTGACATTTCAGTGTTTGTGCGAGTATCAAATCTCGAACATTCCAGTCTTCTGCAGAGCGTAAGAGTGGAAACCTCGTTGCATGTTTTTCTGGTCTGACTTACGTGCCGCTGTTGAATCTCGCAAACGTGTTGGTCCACTGCTGCCCCGTTAAGGACAGTCTGTTGGCAACCATGTTCCGTATTGAGGTTGGTACGGTATCGATAGGGGTGACCTTCTTCCAGAGATCAGAGTTTTCGTTACCGATCGTTGTCTCCATGACAGCCTGTGAATGCATGAGTTTTCATACACATTGTGCATTATGATCGCGATCCCCGATATTGAGCAGGGAATCTTACGAACTGTCCGCCTTACCGAGTAATCCTTTTATGTTTTCGACATGGCGATCATAAAAATCTAAATGCGTTTTTTGGAACTTATCATGGCTATGAACCAATAGGCTTGTCTGTAGTTTGAATGGAAACGACTACGTTCTTTTTTTACTTATTAATGTTTTGACAAAAAGAAACAGCACTTTTTGCCTCAAAACTGTTCAAGCACTATTTTTCCGGCGTTTGATTAGGCTGTCAATATGCTACGGCATAGGGTAGAGTTTATTTTGCAAAGGGAACTGGGGAGCGTGTTGGCTTACCGATGACTGACACTGATATGATAAAACACATTGGAACGGACGACCAATATTTCATTGAACGGTTGGTCGTCCGTCCCAAATGTGTATTTTATTCCTTTAGTGTCACTTGAGTCTATTTTGTAGCTGTTAAAAATGTGTTTAATATTTTTATGGTTAACCTTTCGCTTATTACTGCACGTGAACAAGTAAACCACGTGTCAAAGTCAGTTTTGGGAGTTTTCATGGTCACATAATCTATAATGAAAACAGAACATTGAAGCCACCACGCATTCAAGGTCTGCTGTTTTGTGCTTATTTGCGTGGTTTGTAAGAAGAGGTTTTCCGCAGCTGAATGCTAGACATACTTTCAAGGTGGCACGCATTTATTTAACGAGCTCTCTAAACACTGCTAATTCGAAAAGAAAAAGAGTATTTCGCAAGTTCGAAAGTACGTCATTGGGCCAAGAGCTAGTATTGAGCAATTGATAAAGAAAATAACAACCCGATGATTCGAATAGTGTTAGTTCCCGCTGAGGTATGTGCCTGAAACATATAAAATATTAAACGATGTCTTTTATATTATGTTGCATTATTCACTCTTTCAATAGTGCCTATTGGGACAATAATGGAGAGTCATTTTAAACAATATTTGAAGTCAAACTTACGAGTCCCGTGTTGATGAGATAAAAGTCGTCACCAGAGAAAATCCTAGCCGGATAACCCGAAAATACAATCGACGAGCCTGGAATCAGGTCCTCTGCGATGAACAAAACAAAAGTTAAGAAATTCGGATGTAATTGAAGGGCGTAGTGTTAGGCATGCTGCTTGTGATTTCATATCGACAAACACATTGTATAGCGATAACGAGATAAGTTGTTCGGGATTTCAATACCTTACAAAAAATGAATGGTGGTGTGAAATCTTTCCAACTGCATGCGATTTATCTTTCTATTTAATATTCGTATCCCATCAAAAAAGTGTGATCGTACTTTTTTTGTTGCAAATATGCTCTTCAAAACTGAGGGTTCAAAAGAAGTACTCCATAACGTATAAGGGAATGAAAAACCGTTATACATGAACAATACACCCAGGAACGTGGATACTGAATTATATTTATAAAATAGTATTAAAATAAGTACTACAAAATTAGAAAAAAAAAATATTTGTAGATAGAAATATACAGAAATACATTTTGGTGGGGCAGGAATAGAAATACATTAAAACAATATTATTCGAGCGTTTCTCTTTCTCTGAAGTACAAGTTCGGGCGCCCGCTGGTGTATATGAAAAACAAAGAAACATAATCTACATTATGCTGAACAATTATATAAGCTGTTTTTTAAACTAACAGGTGACGATTAACTGTACGATGCTGCAATATCTTTTACGTTCACGTCTTTTCGTTAGAAATAAATTTCACGGAGACTTAATGTATTGCATTTTACCTTATGCTAAGGGAATCAACTAGGAGTTTAAAGGGTGCCATAAGCGCTTTCAACTAAAGTAATAACCGGAGCTGTTAAGTGTAGATCTCTCATCGTTTTGAGGCGAAATCACAGGTGCCCCTAAATAAGGTTTGTATCCGCTCAAAAAAAAACTTGAAGGGTCATCGTGCTTGTGCACGATTCGGGTACCTGTTTCAGAAATGATTTTAAAATCTCAACAGATGAAAAATTGGAATGAATCCCTATTTTTCATTTGTTGATACGACGGGCCGGCACCGCTTAAAACTTTAGAAATCTACAGGAATAGTCGATAACAAAGGCCTCAACGATAGCTTTACGCCGCCCTTCAGATCTTTATGGAGAAAAGAAGGCAAAGGTTCAGCTTGAACTGATGTTTGGAGGGAAACAATTCCTTCAGATTGTGACGGGATACATCTGCCACTGGTAGGATCACGATACGGGGAATACACATAAAAATATAGTTAGAAAATAAAGATCGAAAAATTCAATCGCAATACAGGATTATAGAAACAAATTAATTTATGACATATTATTGCGATACTGCTCAACGTGTCACAAGTGAAATAAAAACAAAGAAGCGAGAACGGCAGCGGCTGCGGCCCCTCTACTACATTGTCTTCACCGCGTCATACATACAAACTGATAGAAAGGGCTGTTTGTATCACTCACTGGACATAGGCGCTGAGTGGTAATTCAGACGGTACTTTTTGAGAATTCGGTTCATCGAATTGTAGTGCGTCCAGGTGGCGTGGGCAAAGTAAACGTCCATGTTTCCGGGTGCCAACTTAACGATGGCCGAACAAGAACCGGAACCAGTCGGATTGTTTTTTCGGGAATTTGTCCGATTAAACTTGGTTTCTAGGTCGCTCAGGTCACCATGAAGATTCAGTAGCCTGAAACATAAATACAGGCAATGCAATATATAAGATAGTATACAACAAGATAAATGATATATGGCTACGAACATGCTCAGGAGTGAAAGAGGTAGTTACTGAAATATTGACGTATAACGCTAACATTTAAATTTGTTGATGGACCTTGATTGCATGTCACAATACGAGATTCTCAATGCTAATGTGCGGCGTCTGTTGGTGAAGTGACCTTTGCAAACGAATCTTAACAGCTCAATAAAACCTCAGCACGTGTACGATATCACTACATTCTATATATGTGCTAATCTAAGAAATAGTTATGAATGCCAAATTACATCGCACGGAAAGAGCTTCGTACAGGTGTATTTTATTGACGAAACCGCTATAGAAACATGCCTTATTAGTTAGATGTTATTGATTTAGGTCAACTACGATATCTGGGGAAGATATACGCAAGACTAAATTGACTTCGATCTGACACGAATTGTAACTCGCGCTCTCTAGGCGACTGCTGTGCCATTGATTAATTGTCCCTAGGTGAATAAGGTATTGTTGCCAATATTTTCTCTAACTTGGGTAGTTCCTTTAAATACTTCGGGATTAAAAACTCTCCCAAGCCTCAACTTCAGCATCGTCCCTTACACATTTACAATTTCACCATGAAAACTTCAGTAACTCACCCTTATGGTCCGTACAATTAGGCTGGTGGCAACTGTAAGCATCAGTTCTTTCTAGTGACGGCTAGCTCCTGGCTAGCCCATTTGATACAGAGCTCTGCTAGTCTAGGAGATGTCAAGTACATTACTGGGGAGTACATCTTACTCTGCGAAAATCCAATCGCCTTGGCACCGACAGGCTTTGAGTAGATTAAAGGGCTGATCGCACGCAGCCTCATGGATTTCTCTTTTGAATTGGGGGGGGGGGTGGGGGGAGGGGGGAGCCGTCGTCATCTATAGCCGTTTAAATCCATTGAGACAGTGGAGACAACCATCTCTGCTGTCTCGGCTAATCTGGTATAATATTGTACAATATAGTCTTTGTTGTCTCGGCGCGCAAGCTTCAGCCCTCTCCATCGGCTCTTCAGGTACTAGTGTCGTTCGGACACACTCTCAATGTGATCCGGAGGAGCAGCGATAGCGGCCCATTCGGAGCGTGGTTTCTCGGCGATATTAGGCTGTGACGAGAACAAAATCACTTTGCCGCCGCTAACATCTCTCAGTGGAGCGCCAAACTCCGTAGCTTTTGAGTGTGACCTCGGGGCGAGAGTGAACGGGACTGTTTACTTCGGGGAAGTACTTCTTACATGCATCAGGAGGAAGAAAAACGCCGCGCTTGGTTCCTTTCATCTGAACTATGTCTGACATTTTACACTGAAGTCTGAAGCCGCAAAGAAAAAAATACTCGTATTTAGGAAACTAAAAACAAATGATCTGGAATTCCCATGTTATTGATTCCTATAACACGTAGGTGTGTATCAGGATTCACTGGACCCTGCACTAAATTCCTGACGACGTCGTTCGCAAGTCGTTAGAATTGCAAAGTTGCAGAAACCCAAGGAGAAATTTGGCGTGCCGCAGGCTTTAGTGTATAAAGTCAACCACGAGGATTGCCCCACTGTCTCAACGGGAAGAAATTAAAGTTAAAGCAAAGCCGCGCGAGCTGAGGTGTTTTGGTAAAAACGCACCTGCTGCCACACTAGGGTGCGCTTTGCTTTTCATATGGTTCAAACGCAAGGAACACATATAACGAGCGAGCAGGCTCCCCTTTTTTTTTAAATGCTACAGCTTTGCACACGACAACGATCACGACATTAAAGATAATGCAAAATCGGTTGCTGTTGCTACAGCTAGTGACCTTTGAATTGTAACGGTAACGCTATTAGGACGAACGAGGAAAAAAACGATATTTCAGCTGTAAAATTTAGAAGTCTAATATATACAATATAACTGACAAATGACGCACAATTTGTAAGCACTGTAGAGGCTGTCATAAGCAGCTGTCAGCCGAATAGAACCAGACCACTTGAGCGATTGAAGTTTTCAAAGAGCAACTAAAAATGCGGGTGATAAAGAGTTTGAGTAAGATAGTTGTTTCAAAACGAGCTCAGAAAAAGCTTTGGTTGGATCAGTTATGCATTGTTTCCCAAGCAGGATGTCATCAAATAGAAAATGATATAGAAAACATATTCTTAAAAAAACACGACTGGACAGATGTGAGGAAATCGTTATCATAGAACGGTTGTTCGCTCCCGTTCGGAGCGGTACTTACTCAGCGAAAAGCCAAGAAAAAAAGAAACGCGTTAGAAAGCGGGAAGCACGCTATCTCAAAAGTAATGAATGTAATCGAGCACGACAAGATTAAAGGAAAATCGAAGCGGTTATTTATTTGAGGAAAAACACTTATAGCGCCTTCTATTGTCGTCCAGATTTACGAATATCGGAATTATTTTTCAATGTGGTGCGCGGAGGCCGCGGAAAATCCCTTTCAAAGCACTACTGAAGCCCCTCCTTCCGGGAGCGTGATGTCATATTCAGAGATTTCGTAATCTCTACTCTCACGCATCTTGAGCGCCTACCAAAAGCTGTGCTTGCGCACTCTTGCTGTATTTAAAGCGGCCAGAAAAAGACGTCAGAACTGTTGCCAGTGCGGGGAAATATACCACACAAATTGCATACGCAGCCCACACGAGCTACACGCGCTTAGCGGCCGAAAGGTCCTAGTATGACATAACGATAGGTCAGTAGTTCTTCGTGTTTTCTCGCGTTTAGTTATATCTTTGGGTAAAACAAACGTGATCTTCAGATTCACAGAATAAAAATACTATATAATTAGCCGCTAACTAGCTAACTAGAAGATTCTCTTCAGCTTCCTTTTAATAAAACTGAAAGATGTTGAATCGACTTTTGTAAATGTTGTTTGTAATCTATTAAGAGCTCTCCGTAGAAATTTGCTAATTGTAGTGTTATAGTGATGCCCCGTTAACATAGACACCTCCGTTCCCCCGAAGCGAGCTGGGCGTAAGACGTGTCTTTTCCATCGTCAGAGAGCCAGCCAGACCAGTGGTGCACACCATGTCTTAGCTAGAGAAAGTGCTCATGCTGCTCAGTTACGAGCTCGACCGCAAGCTGGGAGACTTTAAGGCCCGCTTTTGCGAAGACCGCCACCCGGCTAACACCGGCGCCAACCCCTGGAGCCGCACCACGGTGGTGCTGAATTCCCTGCGGCGCCGGAAATTGGGCCGGCTCGTCCGTATGCCGGGCACGCAGGGAGCCCTGGCCAGGCGCTCGAGACCGGCCTGCTCGTGTAGTGACAGCCCGTGGCGGCCCCGCGAAGACCACCATCGGAAAGATCGCTGCCAGGCTTAATGCACTTGTTCATATCATATAATAATCACTAACACTTTCAATCTTATATATTACATCATCGCATAATCACAATGACTAGACGCGGCACCTCAGGGCTCCAAAGAACGGGCTGCTGCCTTTCTGCGCTGCCGCGGCCCTTGTGAGCCAATAAAGAGTATTATTATTATTATTATTAAATGCGTCCATAATGTGAGTTGTCTATAATAACGAGACGAAAATACATCTATTTGCCCAGCTTGTCCCCGAAAATAATGAGAATATAGTTGGGTATCTCTATAAAAGAAGCCTGTATTACCGAGACATTACTAACTTAACCTATCCCGGCTTGGAGAGAACAAAAAAAGGAGAGAATGGAAGGATTAATCCAGCTGCAAGAACTTAAATTGGTTACGCAAACGTCAAGCACTTCGTACTTGACGCCTGCATGTTTTTCAAGCTCTTAATTACCAATTCCCGTTCGTAAGACGAGCGATGTCTTCAGTCAGGAAAAGGGACGACGACTTGGCGACGTCTTCGTGCGAATCAACTCGGTTGTAGAGCGAGGCGTACGGAATAAACCCTGGTTGTTATAATCGATAAAAAATTTTGTTTCGAAGCGTGACAGGTTCTTGGGTACAGCGAACGACAGTTCTGAAAAGTCCCCCGCCCGTCATCCACCGCCATCACTGAGACCGCTCCGTACAGTCGACCAGCCCGCGACTTCCGCGATGCGGCGCCATGTTGAGATTTAAGCAGAGAATTCACATAGTACTGCCGGTACTCAGTTCAACTATTTTTTTAGTCAACTTATTAACAGCTTTTTAGAAACCACTATAAATGTGTTCCATTTTTTATATTTTTTTTAATAATGAGTGTGTTTTTTTGCTGACCCACAACTTCAATTATATTTCGTCTGCGTGTTTAAACCACATAGAACGGTACGTGGCCACAGAGAAGAAAGTGAGCGCTACTCAAACCGGCCAGTTCTCGATCGTCGTTTTTCGGGCGGAAAAACAACGGATTTCGAGCCGTAAATTGTGTTCTGGGTAGTTGGGCTCTCATATGTCATCTACAAATGAAAACCTTGGCGAGCGGTACCCTGTCAGTATTCCTTTAAGGAGCACGTGGAGTCCTTCTCAAGTTTTTTTTTTCTTGGTTTGTTTGTTTGGCGTTGCAGTTTTATTACTCAATTTTAGCACAAATAAAATTCAGTTGTATGTCAGCACTGTTGTTCTTCGACCTTCTCCTTCTTGCCCGCGTTTTGCGCTGCCTTTAATTTTTAACCGATATATCAGTGAACCCAAGGGGTCACAGTGTGACCCAGATGTGTGTTGCAGGTCTTGCGATAAGAGTTGCGCACCAATAGATGTTTTGGTTTTTGTATTTTACGTAAAATGTGTCATTACCGCTGGCAGTTTACGGTTGTTTGGGCTCGTCTGCGACATACAACCGGGAACAGAGAAGAATGAACCCTAAAGCAGCTAGGTCACCTCACTGTAGAACTCGTCACTGTTTGGGGAACGGGAGAGCTTGGATCCCTTAGGCTAATTTCTCCTATACGCCGTTTCACTGATACTTGGCAGACGGCGAAAGCTACGGTCCAAGCGAGCCAATCAGTACGTCGGAGAGAGACACGTGCTATCAATGAGAAAATGACAGATGCTATCAATGACGAAA